GGGTGGACCAAAAAGAATATACGTATTTCAAACTGATATATTTAATAAACTGTAAGACATACAACTATGGAACTTGGGACACATATTTATGAAACTCTCTAGTTTAGATTACAGGTGTTCAATATGTCCTCCACCAGCGACACGAACGGTCCAGGCGGGAGTTCCATCCGGGTGTCCGGGAACCGGGGTCCGGGCGGGAGTTCGGTCCGGGCTTCATAACTAACCTGCGTCTCAAAACACGCAAAACTGTTGTTTTAGGCAGCTGCAATTCCCGGCTGGCACGACGTGTTGATTTTGAAGGGCTACGTTGGTAAGCAGCTTGAATTCGTGCGACATTTTCTTCAGATACACGAGGTCGGCCAGGACTCTTTCCTTTACATACACAACCTGTGTCAACAAACTGACAGTACCATCTGCGAATGTTCCATCCATTCGAAGGATCAATTTCGTACCTCAACCAGAAACGTCTTTGCACTGTAATCACAGAATTACACTTCGCAAGCTCAAGAATACAAAAGCTTTTGTGCTGTGAAATAGCCATTCTACAACAACTGTGAATACGTCATTGTAACCAAGCACAACTGACATCTGGGGACAAACTAGACAATGCACTCGTTCCTCCGATACCCACAGCACACCGCTACTATCGATAATTTAATAAATATATCAGTTTGAAATACGTATATTCTTTTTGGTCCACCCTGTATTATTTTATGTTCAATTTTAAAATTTGAAAATTAAATTTATTTTAGCAGGAATATCAAAAACATTTATATTTGTTAATTCTACATTGTTATATATAACAGAGCTGGGAAAGTAAAAATATAACTGAGGGAAAGTATGGCGATTGGTCAAAAAATAACTCCCCAAAATTGTTACCATTTTTAGACTCAGTTTTTGTGTGTGTGTGTGTGGGGGGGGGGAGTATGATTTTGTTAACCCTTTTTGAAGCTTAATAACTCCTGTGCTTTTTGTTGAAAATTTCTGAAATTATGCAGGGATATTAGTGTATTAGGGGGATTGATGCTATTTAATTTTTTGTGGTTAATGGTTAACAGGTGGTGAGATAAAGGTGCGTTGCATGTCATATCTCCAGTAGAGTTTGACTTAATGACAATTTGACTTGTTATTACCATTTATAATTTTTTACAAAACCCATCCCTACCCTCAAAATTAAGCTTTTTGCTATTTTATAATAATTAAAAATATAAAAAGTTTTTAATAATAAATTATCGTAACAGATGTAACCAAATATGCAGTTTTAAATGTTGCTGGGAAAGTTAAGCAACTAACTGCTGCATTTTTTGTATTTTATTTAAAATTTCACTTACAAGTATCATAAATACTAATTAATAATTACTGTATTTTCACAGAATGACTGGAATGACAGTCTATCTGGGAAGACAATGAAATCAGATATTTCCATATGGTAAAAACTGGCATGCCAAGGGAATGTAAGTATGCTAGTTTAAGTGAGGTTATACATCCTTCTCTAGAGGGTACATTAAAAAAATGAATGTGTTGCGTTACATAAAAATAAACAAGTTGTTACTCTATAACAGTGAAACTATCAGCATTACATTAAAAACTAATTATATGTTTAATTTCTTCATTTTGTCTTCTTTCTAACAACATAAAATACTCACAGAATTCCAAAAGTGCTTTCTTTTATGTGTATCTTACTGTTATTTAATTCGAAAAACACAAAAATAAACATATTAAATTTAAGAAGTTCAATGTAAATTATTTCAGCTTATATCAATTAACATTCATATTGTGTGAAATATGAGAAGAAGGTGTTATTTTTAAGGTCAGTCCACCATTAAGCAATTATGGGTTCAAAAGGCACTCCACAGCAGGCATCCCTATGATCTGGCCTAGGATTTTGTTGACAAAACTGCATCAAACAGCTAATTAGATCAGGGATGCCTCTTTGAAGAGACAGAAGGATTCATGATTGCCATACAGGATCAGGTCATAAATACTAAAAACTACAGAAAACACATACTCAAAGATACAACACTCACAAATGACACATGCAGAAAATGTCACATCATGCCAGAAACTATACAACACATCACTTCTGGTTGCAAGCTCTTGGCACAGACAGATTACTTACATAGACACAATCAAGTAGCAAATATAATACACCAAGAGCTTGCAAAGAAACACAAATTGGCAGACATCCACGAACCATACTACAAGTATATTCCACAGACAGTATTGGAAAATAACACGCACAAAATGTATTACGACAGAGCCATAATCACAGATAAAACAATTTACCACAACAGACCAGACATCACACTCATTGACAAACACAATAAAATCACATACATTATAGACATAGCCATTCCAAACACTCACAATGTACAAAACACATGCACTGAAAACATTAGCAAGTACACAGAACTTGCCCAGGAAATAAGGCATCTGTGAAGGATGGATAGGGTTCTTATTATACCTGTCATCCTCTCCTCTACAGGTGCCATAGCACACACACTACACAAAAGCCTGGGCACATTACAATTGAATAGAAACACATACATCACACTACAGAAGGCCTCTATATTGAATACATGTCATATTGTAAGGAAATTCCTGACTACAGACATACACACTGATACACTTTTTTAATTTTTGTTTTGGTTACTATGCCTTGACTCTGGTCCGGCATAGTACATAGCCACGAGTATTAACTCACATAACCCAACACAATAATAATAATGTCACAAAGTCATTAATTGTTTTATTGTTTTGTACATGAAAACTATCTTCATGGTTTTAATTCAGTGAAATTACAATGTTATTATTTTATTCTACTCAGATGAATGTTTCCTTTAATATTTAATTAGCAACTAGTTTTGTTAGATCTGATTAATTTTATATTTTAGTCACAGTTTAACTGGCATGCTGGTCTCTCCCGTTTATATGCGGCATGCAGGATTCTTATTAGTTGAATATTATTAAATAATATTCAACTAATAAGAATCTATTTATAATGATTTCTTACTTGATAAATAAATATAAAATTACCAATACCCTGAAAAATAAAAAGATTGATACATTTTAATCTTTAGTATCTTGAAACTTTATTTCATTTTCTAAAGATTCAGTTGTAATTCCTTCAGAAATTGTAAAGATAATTTTGTTCTTGAATGAAAAGTTTCTATTAATGAATTTTATTAGAACTTTCAGAATCTTAAATAAAATTCCAAAAACTTCCACAAAAAGAAAATTTTCAGAGTTTTTATTTTTCATGCTATTTTTAACTTGTATTTTTATTCAATTTATAATTAGCATTTATGTATAAAAACTTTAAATATTGAAAATTTTTCTGTATTTTATAATATAAAATACTAAATTTTAAAATACCAAATTACAGTAGTAGCAATTGAAATTGAATCACCTATAATCATTCCAGAAATTATGAATTTTTTACTTAATAACAATTATTAGCAATCTACTGTAGACCTGCTATTCAGCTATCATGTAGTTATTATGCTAGTATGTAGTGTTGGTCCAGTGAAACACTTAATGCATTAGAAATGGCATTGACATGGCTAATTTTTTTCACTGCCCCTTAGGCACTAAGAATGCTTCATTTTTAATCAAGCCTGTATCAAGTTCAGCCAGGTGTGACCAGGTGTGAGGGACAGGACCACATTGTTCCAGGACAGCCCACCCTTGAAAACTTTCTGGTGGTTTCAACCTGTCTGGAATTCATTACCTGGTTCTTAGATCAATAGGATGAAAATTTAACCACTTGTACATCCAGCTGTTACATTGACAATGTTAGAAATGCAACAAGAAGCAATTTTTCAACTCTTATGAGAATCAAGTAAAACAGAAATTCAGAACAAGTTAAAAAACAATGAAAAAAAAAAAAAAAGCAAAATCAATGCTTTCTTTAAAAAAAAACTGTAATAAATAATTTTTATGTGAATACTGTACTTGATTTAATATTAATTTTACTATTATGTATTTTTTACTTTGAATTCAAAGTTTCATCACTACAGTAGACCCCCCTATAACGCTTAGATACGTTCCACGCTAACCGAAAATTACGTTGTAGGAATGATTAAATACATGAGCCAATCGCAGCCCGATAGGTGGGAACTTTACGGACTAAGGCTGTTTGAAAGGTTTTCTTCTATAAAATTAACCGATTCTAGACTAATTCCACTCAACATTTCCAAAACACGTATAATTTTTTGGGAATAATCCGTATAAACTACGCTATAAACAAAAAATTATAGGATTACTTACCGAGTGTGTACCGTTCGACTACGCCGTTGCTTAAAGCTGGTTTTCATCGCGGAACAGCACATTAAACGGCGGCCGCGATTTCTAATAACGAATTTTTCGCATAAAAATAACTTGACCTTTGGAGACATCATTAATATAAATAATTTTTATGGCCGTTGAATAAGAAGTGTTTCTTTCACAAGAAATGTATAAAATTAGTGCTGTATTAGACTTACGGTACCTAATTTACATACTGTACAGACGATAATAAACTCAACTTACTAGCCTAAAATCTCCGTAGCGTGTTGCCAGGCGGCAGAAAGCATATATATAATTATAATAAAGTTACAATAAATTAAGTTAATATATAATTATATATACAGTACCTAATTTATATATAATTAATATATAATTATATGTACAGTACCTAATTTATATATAATTTATATATAATACTAAACAGACGATAGCAAACTCAATTTAGCCGCTCCGTAGCGTGGCGCAGGGTCGGAGGAAAGTAGTTTGGCTGCTCATCCACTATTGGTCCAGACTCTATCAATCTTGTCGCGAAACGACGTTATAGGAGGTATTTTATACGAAAGTTTCTACAATTTTTTCGCTACGTTATAGGAATTGTCGTTACAGGAACGTACGTTATAGGGGGGTCGACTGTATATTATAATTGCAATGAAAGACTAGACTTGTGCTTGTTTCTAATAAATAAAAAATAATGAAAAAATTGTCTAATCATTTTTATGTGTTAAATTTCTATGCCTTAACCATTTTTACTATTGTACTAAAATTAAAATTAATATTTTTACTTTATTTAAGATATTTACCTTTTTATTCTTTTCCTACCAAGTCTGATTGGTTATTTGAAAATGACCAATTATTTTAGATAATCAACACTCTACTATTATGACCCCAATTATTTCAGATAATCAACACTCTACTATGAATGGGTTAGTTTTTATACTTGGGTCTGTTCTTGTGAAATTCCTCAAGGGTGGCTGCACAATTAATGTTGAACAGCACACAGTTATCCCCAGTAGCCTGCATACCACCCTCAAAAACAAATACCCAGATTGTTTAACACAGGGAGTCAGTTTGTTGCATGATAATGTGCATTCCCAAACTTCCCACAGAACAAAAGACAAATTGACATGGTTAAAATGGAAAATACCAGATCACCCCAAATTTCTGCCCTGGGACATAATTTTTGGGGATCTCAAGAAGAGCTTGAAAGACAAGAAGTTTAAGTTGAACCATACACTGGAGGAGGCTATTCAGAATTTAGTTCAATCCCACCCAAGAGACTTGAACACAGCATCTGTCATTTGATGTCACAATGAGAAAAGTCTGTTGTCAACAATGATGATAATTAACATGTAAGTTGATTTTTGAATGTTTTAGCTGCCTCTGCTGCATTTCATTTGATTGCTCCAATATAAAAATATAATTTCCTTGAAGTAGGAAAAATTAATTTTTTAAACTTTAATGGTTAATATCATCAATTTCATATAGATTTGAAATCTGTTGTTTTTACTTATTATAAGATTGTAAATATGTTGCACAGTTATACCTAATTTAAATATTATATATAATTAATAATAATAAATTACCTTCACCACTAACATCAGGTTCATGTGGCTGGAAAGCACCATAGGATGACCATAAACTGCCTAATTGTGTACCAGCTGATTTAAAATGTTTTTAAATTTTAATTAATTAAATTTTAATTTATTAATTTATTTTTAAACTTATTTTTTTTCTTAATTTTTCAAAAATGAAAGATGTTAATCAACTAACACATGCTCTAGATTTGAATGAACAGGAGATGACACAATTGAGTTCTAATTATCAAGAGAATTTTACATTGTTTTAAATAGGAATCAGATGGGAACTAACATCCAGATTGAATTAAGAGGAAATTCATATTATATAAGTTCAAATTAACAAGTTTACTGTATTTCACTTAACAGAATTTTAACTGCAATAATGAATTAATTATTATAAATAGAATTATCAAATGCTTACCAGCAATAGGACTTGAAAATACACCTAAAGCATGAGTATCGTCTACCCACTTGATATTAAATCCTGGATTTCTATTACAAATCAAAAAATCAAATTTAAATTAAAAAGTCAATATAAATTAAATCTCATTTTTAAAAAAAATTTATACATANACATGTATAAGAAGTGATATAAAAGTATATTAAAATTTTGCAAGGGTTGTACAAAAAGTAATGGCCTACAATATATTACTATACAAATAAACCATTGGAAGAAAAGAACACAAGATATATAGATCTAGTAGTAACAACCGTCATCTTACCATGCAAAATTAAATGATATTGCTTGCATTAGCCATACAAAAACAGTGTGATATAAAAAAATGGCAGCCTGCAGTGTGTTCTGACAATGTTCAGCAGCTGTATTTCTTATTAAAGAGGAAATTTCAAAGACTGAAAAATGTTTATAGAAGGTTTGTATTTGCATAATTGTTTGCAATGTCAGATGACCAGACAATGAATTAAACAAAGATGGCAAAACAGACATCAGAGATCAGACACAAGGTGATTGCTTGCTAACTGTTTCTAGGGAAACACAAAGACAGACTTGATGCTCTCTTAAGAAAGAAGCAACATGTGAAAATTACAGAAATTGCAGCACATTTTGGAAACAGTTATTGTACAGTGTAAAATATGGAAAAGAGTTTAGAATATCACAAAGTTCGTTCCTGCTGAATTCCTTGGAGTGAATGAAAAGAAATTAAATTCATCTTTCATACAGCCCAGACAGCCCTCTTAATCACCTGATAATCATTAACTTTTATAATGCTAACTTTGTAACTCTTCTTAATAGAAGAGTTACAAAGTTAGCATTACAAAACTTATGAAGCAGTCATTCAAACTCTTCTTCACTGAACATTCTAAATAAATTTCTGATGCAAGAGAATTTTCAAACTTCCATAACAATTTAGATTAAACCAAACAATTGTCAGATTATATCAAGCTATATTAATGCTACTAACTACCAATTAAATTTCAAGTAATTTGGCTTAGAAGTAATTAGTAGCATTAATATAACCTTATATAGATGGGCAATTGCTTAGCTTTAAAAAAAATCAGGTTTATAGATATTTATATTTCCATAATAATTTAGAAGTAAAATTAATGTGATGAAAACTTTGGATGCAAGCTTTTTAGTTACAAAATTAAATTATTTTTAGTTTCTACAAATTCATTGGCACTTGTTTACTTTGATATCCATAGTGACGTGACTTAATCATCATGAACACTATGCAAGGCATAGAAAAATTCACAAACACAATTTAGTTCCCATTACTTATCTATGTTTACAAGAGCAATAGTTTTCAAATCATTTGCTCCAGGTAATGACACATGGGAAAAGGGTTTTCTTTTGGGAGTTAAATTAAAAAAAAGACATGATGTTTTTAGTAAGGTTTCACAAAAAAAGAATAACAATTAAAATGTAAAAGTTAAATGTACAGAAAACTTGAGTAACAAAATAAATTTTAATGAATGTACTTTGTTATCCTGTATCATCACACTATTATCTTAAAGAATAGAAAACTGTGAGTATAACAACTTAACAAAATATATAACAAATTAACTTATCTATGTTAAAATAAAAAATAATAATACTCTTGCTACTGACTTTTTTTATAAACTTAACATTTTGGAAAATTGTGAAAACACCAATTAATTAACTCAAATTAACAAATTAAGAAAAAAAGGTACTAGGGTTTTTCAGATTGGTAAAAAGTTTGATTGCTTATATCCTTCATTCATCAATACACTCATCATCCATGGCAGAAATGGAGAAATGTATGGAAATTAGAATCTGCATAAATATCCTATTATTAATGTGAGTTTTTTAGGGAGTTTTAGATTCAAAACCCCACTCCCGTGACACCATTATGTAAACCGCAGGGGAGGTCAGGGTCAGTCACACCTCCCTGTTCAGACAACAGGTCATTAAACCTGTTCACTGTCAGGATAGCTTATTTTACGATAAATTTTATGATTTTACCAATGAGGGTTGGGACTCTCAAATGTTGGTCGAGTGGAGGGAGAGTATTTGGGGTCGATGATAAGGTGAAGGCTGTATACGAGTAAAGGAGTCTACCATTTTAACAAATAAAACAAGAATTTATTAAAATAATCAAAATTGACAAAACTACTACACAAATCTCAACATTAAACAGCCTAACAGCACAAGAGAGAGTTTACATGTTTTCTTCATACCTCTTTGTAGGTTTCTGTGACGATTAAGGAATGTAGGCACATAAATGTCCAAATAAAAGGTGTCTTTGATCCAAATGTGCACAAATATAAAAGTTCACAACTCTGGCGATGAACAGATATCAATGGTGAAGGATCGGAATTTTGGTGGGTTCGGAGATTTGACTCAATGTCGTTGGTCCGGCTTTCGATAAGAGATTCCCCCAAGAAGGGGTAAGAACTGTCTTTTATAGCCTTTTGTGGGGAATTTCCATTACGTGATCAGATGTTCTATGAGCTAAAGGTTATAGGTATTCTAGGGACCCAAACAAGTGACGAAATTTGGATGCTAACTATAAACTTTTGTGCAAGTTGAGCTACAAGTTATGAGAAGACAATAGAATGTTGATGGTTATGACAGGAAGGTTTACACATTCCCAGCTAAGTTCATTTTTTTTCCCTTCTAATCTCTTACATAAATGAAAGTAAATTAATTACAATTTTTGTTAATAAAATTCTGGATCTCACATTAAACATCCTTTCAGTTTTTCAAATCTCTAAATGAATACAAACAATCAAATTATTCCTAAAAAAAATTCCCAAAAATAAATTTAAAAATATACTTTTTCATTACAATAAAAAGTTACTTAATTGAATTATGAAACTAATTAAGTTCAACTAACTTTAAGTTAAGCAAGGAGTTGCAATAAATAATTTTAGAATAAACCTAGAAGAAACTAATCGGCCTGGAGTGAGACTCAAACCCATAACTCCTGCTTACAGTGTGAATGCATTGCTAATTATGCTACCTGAACTTCCAGTCCAATCTTCCCTTCCAGGTATATTTAACTTTCGATATAATCATTGTCAGTTATCACAGTGCCAACTGTCATCACCATAAGTCAAATATACCTGGAAGGGGAGATCAAACTGGAAGTCCAAGTAACATAATTGGCAACACACCTGCACGGCAAGCAGGAGTTGTGGGTTTGAGTCCCATTCTGGGCCAATTTTTTTCTTCCAGGTTTATTCTAAAATTATTTAATTAAATTATAATTATTAAATTTATTACAAGATGGTGCCTAATGCATTCCTCTAGTGTCAAATTGTTTAGTAATTTATTAGTATTATAGTTGTTATACAACCCAATGGCATATGGCAGTGCACAACTTTTATGCCTTTGTGTCCTTAACTTATGTATTTATGCTTAAATTGTCAACTAGAACTTATTATATCCAGCGCATGATGTCCTAGTAATAAATTAATTAAAATTATAATTATTAAATTTATTACAAGATGGTGCCTAATGCATTCCTCTAGTGTCAAATTGTTTAGTAATTTATTAGTATTATAGTCGTTATACAACCCAATGGCATATGGCAGTGGTTGGCTTTAGTAATATAATGTATCAGGTTTTCATAGAGTTGTTTGTCCTAGTGTATTAATAGATAAGTCATCAATACATAATACTAAGTAATCTGTTATAAAACATACTTTATTTGTTTGGCATAGAAAACAGACTATTAAACCAACCATTAAACATTTGTTGATTTATAATTTTATGCTTTTTCTACTTGAACTATACAAAACTGACAATAGAAAATCTCCAAGATCTGCAAAAATAACAACATAGGACTTTGATTTTGTAGACATTTTGATTTCTTAGTCATTTTGACTTGTTGGGATTTTGAACTAAACCCATTTTTTTGTGGGGAAGGATATCATCTATATCTATACTAATATATAAAGAGATAATGTTTGTATGTATGTAAGTTTCGTTGCAGCAGGTAATCTCCGAAACTACTCATCCGATTTCAAAAATTCTTNCCTCTAGGAACAAATTAATCAGTAATTCAAATTATTATAGCCAAACTATAGCCTGATATTATATGGCAGTTGGTGTAGCTTTATTTATTGAAATAATTGATAAAAATAAAAACTATATAATTTAGTAGCATTAGTTATAAACAAACTAAAATAAACATGAAATTTATACTCTTATAACTTCATAAATGTAACTATTTACTAAAATAAATGCTTTTAGATTATACATAACAGGTTTCTAGAATATTCTACAAACCTGTACTGTATAGTATAAAAATGTTTACCAAATATTTAAATCAGATAACAAAATTATTTTTGAGCCATTTAAAAATTATAATTTTAATTAAATGTCTGAACTTCCATACATTCCAAGCAGGCATTGCTGTTTTGTTAATAAGAGTTTAACAAGTAATGCATGATCAAGCAAATTGAGACCATGACTGTTAATTAACCTGTTGAAAAATTGTGAACATTTGGCAACTCCTTTTATATCCTAAATTCATTAGAAAACCTATTTAATATTGATATTAAGAGGTCAGTAGTGACAAATTTTGCCCAGGGACTGAATCTTGGGAGTAAAATTTTTTCTTGCATACTCAGGACTAGGTATACCAAATTTGATTGAGATTTGCCTAATGGTTCTTTCTATAGAGAGCTTTAATTAAACTATTTTTAATTATAATCACCCCTGTATAATATTGTAAATTTTGTTGAAAGAAATAAACATAAATAACATTATGTTGTTATAATTTATAAGTATATTTGTATGAACTTTAATGATAGTATGATATCTCTTATGATAAATAATACCATTTAATCTAAAACAACTGAAGGCATTATCATACTTTTTTTTTATTGTTTTTCAAACAAATGTAAACAGACCAAAAATGATCTAGAATAGTTTAGTACAACTGATGAACAAACTTTAATTGATGAATACTGAACAATTATTAATTAATATTCTAATGTGAATAAGTAAATTTAATACATTCTAATTTCTGATTACAACAGATTATTATAGTTGTAAGTAATAAAAATAATTTAAACTCTCAACATGAAGATCAACAACACATCAACACTGGGAATGGAAATCAACATTCTATCCAGAACCTGTTACTAGTGTGTTTGGTGAATAATACAGTTTATCACTAACGTTTTCGAACCATTAAATAGTTCTTCCTCAGGTGAAATGTACTGAATAGTCAATGGAACACATCAAAATAGAACATGAATACTCAAATTAAATCAAACGAAAGCTTGATGAAATTCGTTACAATGGGCATGCGCATTACGTGCATGGATGGTGGTAATTAAAGGTCGGTGTCCATAAGGGTCTGCCAGGCAACAGATAAATTTAGCTCCTCCTTTTGGTTGATGCAGATGGCCTTTGGCTTGTTTTATAAATGAATATGGCCTCTAACCATCTTAGATGTTCATGGTGAGGAAGAGTGATGGTGACCTTGTCTGTGTCAAATTCCATCTCGATATCAGGGGTCAGATACATAAGTAGCAAGGGTTTGTGGCGTGTCTTCCATGTTGAAGGACAACAGATCAAACCGTGAAACACGTGTCCTGGTCACATTTAACCTGCACGTTAAATCGTTGTACACAGAAATCGCCAACAAACACCAGATGCGGATCACATACAGGAGATGTCTGACGATCTTCGACATCCTCCACAACAGAAAAGACTCTCCTGACCATAACAGACACCCCGGTGTTTACTCTATCCCTCTTAAGGACAACAGATGTGACGGACCTTATTCATGTTGGTTCCACCAAACGCTCCTTAGAAACCAGAATACGCAAACACTGAGCAGACCTTCAACGTGGAAGACACACCACGACCCTTGCTACTTATGCGTCTGACCCTGATATCAAGACGAAATTTGACAAAGCCAAGGTCATCATCACTACGCCTCACCATGAACATCTAAGATGGTTAGAGGCCATATCCATTTATAAAACAAGCCACAAGGCCATCTGCATCAACCAAAAGGAGGAGCTATATTTATTTGTTGTCTGGCAGACCCTTATGGACACCGACCTTTAATTACCACCATCCATGCACGTAATGCGCATGCCCATTGTAACGAATTTCATCAAGCTTTCGTTTGATTTAATTTGAGTATTCATGTTCTATTTTGATGTGTTCCACTGACTATTCAGTATATTTCACCTGAGGAAGAACTATTTAACAGTTTGAAAATGTAAGTGATAAACTGTATTATTCACAAAACACACCGGTAACACGTTCTGGATAGAGTGTTGATTTCTTTCTCAACAACTATAATAAAATTTAATAGAAGATTATGAATCTTTAATTAGATTATATTATTTACAGATTTATGTATTTGAAATATTTTTTAGAATACCATTTGCAATTAGCAAAAGATAATTAATAATAAAATAAAATAGTTTTATTTTTTTTATTATATTAAATAACAAATAAATAATAAAATATTAATTATATTAAATTAATTTACCTCTTTCAAAGTGTTAGGATTAAGACATTCTCCACTATCATCAAACATTGAATCCCATGAATCATCTGTATTTTCTTGTTTACAATCAGAAGTGTTTGATAACAGAGATTCATTATTGCAATTTCCAGTTTTTTCTGTAATAACTTGTTCTGTTTCTGCATACTCTTTTAATTTTATAATTACATTCTTTTCATTTTTTAAATCATTTGATTCTTCTTCACATGATTCCTCTTTACATAATGATTCTGAAGTATTTTTATCTGTACACGACTCACATAATTCATTTGACAGAAGATGAATACTTTCCAAACAAGAAGTATTCTCATTGTTCATCATATCTATTTCAGAAGAAACAGTTTTAGAAATATGTGACTGTCTTTCATTATCTTTTATGATTGAAGAATGTTCAATAACATCTGAATTTTCTGACATATTTTTATCTAATTCTTCGACAGTATTGTTTAAACTATCATTGTTTCTATCACTTTCATCATTTTTAAATAATTCATTTTTGCACAAATTACCTGATAAAGAAGTTTTACTGTCTGTCAAAATTTCATTATTCAATTTTTTAACTATTAAAACTTCATTTAAACTTTCGCCCACAGATGAAATTTCACCAGAATTCTTACTATTATCATCATCACTACTGAATATTTTTTCAGAAATATTTAAACTTTTATCATCACATTCAACATTTGTAATTTGATTACTATCCTGAACAGAAGAAAATTTTTCTTTATCACAGTTGTCTTGTTTTCTATTTGGTGATTTATTTGAAGAATGAGTCTCTTTATTTCCATATAATTTCTTTGTTTTTCCATAACTTTCTATTTGCTCTATAGAACAATTTTCTTTAGGAATAGTAACATTAGAAGTACACTGAGTTCGTCTTGCACGAGGTACATAAAGTTTCATATCTGGACGTTTAGGCTTTGACCTGAAAGAGATTCAATAAATTATTATTAACCTTGTTCAATTTGAACGGTAAGATACATCACAATGTCTACATATAAAGTAGAAATAAAATAAGTTAATATTAGTCATCTTTTATAATCAATTTTTTTATTTATCTGTTTCTGTACTGAAGTAACACAATTTAGTAATTAAACATTAAAATTTCAAAATAAATTTATAGTCGACCCCCTATAACACTGTTGATAATTCCATTTTATATGAATTCCATGTTGTAAGAGTCACTTAGATTTTACAAATATGTGAGTCGTTCACAGCCCAGCACAAGTATTTGTAAAATCTAAGTGACTCATACAACATGGAATTCATATAAAATGGAATTATCAACAGTGTTATAGGGGGTTCGACTGTAATTGGTAAGTAAAAAAAGTATACAAAGAATTAATTTGATATTTCAAATAATGGATGAATTTTAAATTTAAATCAAATAACCCATTTGGGTTGTAACAAATAAAATATCTGATAAATTAAAAATTTGACACTTCCGTGTTGCAGCGTTATTGACAGCGATTTGTTAAATTTCAGACGTGCTCGCTAGTACTTTCAACAGTTTACAACCGTCGTCTTCAGGCGAAATCGAATACCTTAATTTTCGAATTAATAGCTTTTAACGGACTTTCCAAATTACGTAATGCGCGTGGTTGGAATATAGAATAAATTAATAAAATTGAAAAAATAAATATTCTTTAAAGAAACCTGCTGTAATAACTTGATCTCCCAAAACATATAAATATTGATTGATGATGCCGTGCATAGTAATGGAATACAATCAGAACACAAAATTATAACTTGGCTTGTTTAAATAAAGTTATCCATAGCTGTGGTATTTCCAATGTCGGCACGTTACACGGCAGAGTAGCGGATATGTAAAGGTTTTCCCATATGAATATTTGCCTACGATCGTTACAATGCTTAAGTAATTTAACATGGTTCCAAAGTGAAAGATAATCTTGTTCTAGCACCTTTTTCGCTAATTCTGTGGCTGGCCTATTATTTCTAATGTCTTCTTGATGTTCGAGGATGCGGGACCGTAACATTCTGGTGGTAGCTCCAATATAGATAATTTCCTCCCCTGATATTGTATGTTTTAATAGAATTTTGTAAACCCCCGATTTTTCATTCAACGTGAGAATGTCTCTATCGTTGCACAATGTTCTTCGTAGTGACGGTTGAGGGGTTATAGGTAATATGAAACCATGTTTCCTGAATAAGCGTGTTATTTTTAGTGAGATGGCACCCAGGTACGGTATTGGAGGGTTTATTATCTTTAGGTTTTCTTTGTTGCAGAGGAAAGATTTCAGAAATAATTTGTTTATAACCCGGTTGTAGAGATAACGATATTTGGAGTTAGAATATCCAGCATTGTGCATTGCTCTTTTGATAATTTGTAATTCTTCATCTATTAATGTCTGGGAAGATGGAATGAGGATTGCTCTCTGAATAAGTGAAGTGATAGCAGAGTTAACAAAGCCTGGGGGTTGGAAAGCAGATATTATCCCTGTATCTGCTTTCCAACCCCCAGGCTTTGTTAACTCTGCTATCACTTCACTTATTCAGAGAGCAATCCTCATTCCATCTTCCCAGACATTAATAGATGAAGAATTACAAATTATCAAAAGAGCAATGCACAATGCTGGATATTCTAACTCCAAATATCGTTATCTCTACAACCGGGTTATAAACAAATTATTTCTGAAATCTTTCCTCTGCAACAAAGAAAACCTAAAGATAATAAACCCTCCAATACCGTACCTGGGTGCCATCTCACTAAAAATAACACGCTTATTCAGGAAACATGGTTTCATATTACCTATAACCCCTCAACCGTCACTACGAAGAACATTGTGCAACGATAGAGACATTCTCACGTTGAATGAAAAATCGGGGGTTTACAAAATTCTATTAAAACATACAATATCAGGGGAGGAAATTATCTATATTGGAGCTACCACCAGAATGTTACGGTCCCGCATCCTCGAACATCAAGAAGACATTAGAAACAATAGGCCAGCCACAGAATTAGCAAAAAAGGTGCTAGAACAAGATTATCTTCCACTTTGGAACCATGTTAAATTACTTAAGCATTGTAATGATCGTAGGCAAATATTCATATGGGAAAACCTTTACATATCCGCTACTCTGCCGTGTAACGTGCCGACATTGGAAATACCACAGCTATGGATAACTTTATTTAAACAAGCCAAGTTATAATTTTGTGTTCTGATTGTATTCCATTACTATGCACGGCATCATCAATCAATATTTATATGTTTTGGGAGATCAAGTTATTACAGCAGGTTTCTTTAAAGAATATTTATTTTTTCAATTTTATTAATTTATTCTATATTCCAACCACGCGCATTACGTAATTTGGAAAGTCCGTTAAAAGCTATTAATTCGAAAATTAAGGTATTCGATTTCGCCTGAAGACGACGGTTGTAAACTGTTGAAAGTACTAGCGAGCACGTCTGAAATTTAACAAATCGCTGTCAATAACGCTGCAACACGGAAGTGTCAAATTTTTAATTTATAAATGTGGCGTGAAGTGAACTACAATTTCAAATATCTGATAAATAATAATAAGTAAGCATTAATTAAATTGCAATAATAAGTAAGTATTAATTAAATTCAAATCTGAGGTATAGATAAATCAAAGTAACATAAAACTTATTTTGAATTCAACACATGTGAATGTTTTTGAAAATAATCAAATTCTTGCACTTTGTTCTTATGGGTGGGAAAAATCTATGTATTATCTTGGAGCTACTGCATGGTTTACATGTTCTTTTTTAAATGAATGAAACTGTGAACATTGCAATATACTCATGTTATGATGGTAAGATCACTTTTGCATCTGGATAAGTGTTAAAGTGAACACTTTATTGCATGAGGATTGCCCAATTAATAAGTTGCAGCTACCTGTATGCTGCTTTACGCATTGGAATCATACAGTTCTCAGATCATCATTGGTGAAAGAAACAATTGCCAATGCAAGCATCATTGTTGCCTGTAAAGTCAATGTTGGAAGTGAAGGAAATGACAAACTTATTGATGAAATATATGTACAAAGTTATCAATTTTTTACTTGTTTTAAGGTATCAACCAAAGTAAGATTTATCAATGATAACAAATGTATACAGTCCAAATGTTTAAAGTCAAAAGACATAACTGTGGTGCAACAAATTCAAAGATGGTAGAATAAACTTGAATGATGATTCAAGTCATAAAAGAAGCAAATGAAAGACCTCATACACAGAAGAAAATTGTACAATTTGAAGATCTCCTAAAGGAAGATCTAAAACTGAAAATTTGTGAAATTGCCAAGCAAACTATTCCAAAATGCACTTTTCATAAAATCATTATAAATTTATCAAATTGTAAAATTTTGTGTTGATCAGTTCCAAAAATGTTGAATGAGGAACACAAAAATGAAAGAATGGCTACTATCATCACATATACTACAATACAATACACTTTATTAATGAAAAAATAACTATTACACTTACAGGACATAATGGCTATGGCCTTTTTCAGGTGCCCTAAAAATTTAGTAAACAACAGTAACAGGTAAGCATCAGAGTAAATAAAACATAAAATGACAACCTCAGTTTGTTAAATCAAAAGAATGTCCATAACATAAAACACCTGGAATCATCTGTATCCAAAATATTCAAAAAGTTCAGCCATTTGTGCAATGGCAACATCCACAATTATCAGAATATTTCTGTGTAAATTTATATCACCAAAAATGATTAACAGCAAGCAACTTTGGAAAACTTGCATGATGGTCATTTGATGACAAAAGCCAGGGAAGTTATATGTAGGAATGAGACTTCTGCATGATGGGACATAATTGATAATTGCAACACATAACTTGGCTGAAAAAACACTAATGAGACAATTTATAGCACCATCATATAGCCCTAAACTCACTTTGTCAAAATTCCATCTTTTTGGTTCCTTTAAAAATTTCTTATCAGAAAAAAACTTGCAGATCAGAAGGAAATGAAAACCCAAGTTTGGACTATTCTGTAAATCTTGAATAGGAGACACACACTAAAAAAATCTTTAAATTCAAATGTTACCATATTTTTGTGAAATGACCAGCATGCATGCTGGTCTATCTGGGGAGACCATGAAATCAGATATTTTTGTATGGTAAAAACTGGCATTGTAAGGAACCAAGTCTGAGCTTTATTTTTATTTTACTTTTATTTTGCTTTCATTATATTTTGTTTGGGGCTTATGTTTAGTTAAGACGAAGGTTTCCTCACCATTCACCTTAGTAACTTAAAAATAGAAGAAAAACCAAATCACCGACGAAAGAAAAGCGCCGTAGAAAAACTCGCGCACACTTGCGCTTCCCGAGCGGAAAAAAGTAAGTCCGCACCGAGAAAAAGGGGGGGGAGACCCCACAACCCAGTTAGGAATCGCTAAACCTTAAAATAATAAAGCATCCCGATAATTGTTAAAAAGAATAATGTAAAAGGTTAGCGAAGTATTGTCGGAAAATAATCTGCCAGATAAACGAGAAAAATTTAATGTTACAGATAATTATGTAAATGAGGAGAGTGAGCTCATTCAGAATTGTGACGTCACCTCACACTATAAAGCCTCTAACTCAAGTGAAAACGAACGAGGTGAATTCCTGATAGCAACGAGCTTATAGCAGTGAACGAGAGAGAGGTGTCCGATAGGATTTTGAAGTTATTCGATTTGTGGATCGACGGTTATAGAAAGTCTTGAGAGTTTGAGGAAATAGGTTCCTAGTATATTGAGGTGACGATTAGGATCTTTAATTTATAAGAATTATTGTTTATAAGTTAATTCTTTGATTTTGTCGAATTCCAAAGGGGAATAGAATTAAGTTAGAAATAGATTGATTTGAGTTTGTCGGATTGATTCTTGTTGAGTTTCATTGAATAAATTATTGTTTGATTTTTACTAAATACTGTATAGAGTTTATTAATAGAAGTTTAATTAAATATTTGATTTTGTTATTGACAAACTTTGTCATTATTTAATTCGGTGCACGCTTAAAGTCCAGGCCTGGCACACTAACGCGAATCCGCGTAAAGTACCCGTTAGGGAACGGCTATTTCCGGCACACAATAGTGTCAATAATCGTTGGAAAGTCGGAAAAATAATATAGTACTTTACAGCATGCCTGTTTATTCCAGGGGAATGCCGACATGCCAGTTTAGGCGCGGTTATAGATCTCTCTCTAGAAGGCACATTACAAAAAATAAATGAGTTACATTTCATAAAAATGAATAAGTTTTTATTCTAAAACTCAAACTGTCAACATTACATCAAAAACTATGATTGTATGTTTAATTTCTTTATTTTGTCTTCTTTCTAAGAACATAAAATACTCATGAGATTCTAAAAATGCATCTTTTCGTGTGTATTTTATTGTTATTTGATTCAAAAACAAAAAATAAACATATTAAATTTAAGAAACTTGCTGTAAATTATCTCAGCTTACATGGATTAACATCTGCTTTGTGTGAAATTTCAGAGGACAGTGTTATTTTTAAGGTCAGGATAGATAGTCAGTATGGTCTACTTTGACCAACTACTACTACTATAAGTCATTAATTGTTTTAATGTCTTGTAAATGAAAACTCACTTCCTGACTTTAAGTCAGTCAAATTACAATGTTATTATTTTATTGTACTTGAAAGAATGTTTTCTTCAACATTTAATTAACAACTAGTTTTGTTAGATCTGATTGATTTTATATTTTAGTGGCAGTTTAACCAGCAAACTGGTCTCACCCATTTTTATGCAGCATGCTGGTCATTCTGCAAAAACATGGTAGGATAATGTCTCAATAATTCTGGTGAACATGAAAAAATGAACTTTAATAAATAATTCTTACTGTATTTTTTCCTGATTTTTTTAATGAAATATTCTATGTAATTTTTAAGCATATCTTATTTCTCAAATGACCTACATATTGTAAAACTGCAGTTCCACAAATAGATTGTTGCAAAGCAGGCTCAAGGAATACAAAGATATCAACAATAATAAACTAACAACTACTTTGGCACAGTTTTCAGTAGAGCCAGGATGTCCACAATACTAAATGAAGCTAAGATTATAAAATCAGCCTTGAATGAACATTTAAGATCATTTGTAACATTTGAGATCTACAAAGCAACATTAAAAAATAAATGCATTAATTATAAAAACTCTTATTCCTTTTCCAGTGCTTAGAAGTCATTCTTCAACAATCCCCTAGAAACAAGGGACAACTTTATATGGAGAGAGAACATAAATTATTAGGGCCTAATATGTGCTTAATTATATTCAATAATAATTTTGTAATATCTAAATTACACGTTGTATTTTAAAATATACTTATTTTTATGGATTGAATATTTTAAATTTAAACGTTAATGTCATAAAATGCATTTAACATTCGTCTGTGGAATTTCAGAACAAATTTTCGAAATCTAATATTAAACCTGAAACAGGTTTATGAATAAACCAACAACATTTATTTAGCTTAAACCCAAGTTGGAAAAGTATGAAAGATATAGTTTCGATGTTAGTTGTCCCAGCATTTATATTTTGAATTCAACATGGATAAAATTCCATGCTATTTTGATATGGATCAAGATAAAACTATTCACTTTTAAGGGGGTGAAATCATCAACAGCTGCAACACTGGATATAGAAAACAAGTTTTACTGTTTTCTTACTATTTGCATCTCTATAAAATTTCTGAAATCTTTTATCATATTCAAAGGCTTCAAAAAAGTTCCTAAAGTCAATCTGCCACAAAAGGCATCTATGAATGTCACTAATTCTTGATTCTATGAATACCAAAGTCATGAAAAATTGGATATTGGTTTTAATAACAGTGGGCTGTTCTTTGCAGAACAAAATCAATGCTTCTGATGAAACTCATGTCAAATTGCCTTATATACGCTGAAGCAGTCTGTAAACAATAGCATTCTAATGATCTCTCAAAAGACATCATCATACTTTCAACTTCTTTATGTATTCATTAATTTGATATTTAAGGCTGCCATGTGTAGTTTGAACTAAGTGGCATGAGAATGAATCAAAAAAATTCACTAAGAAAGGATATTGCAAATGACCAAGTTATCAGCATATCATCAACTTCATCACAGAGTCAATGAAAGCTATTACACCACATACAATCAAGAAAACATTTCACTGTTGTGAAATTTCTGCATTTGGCAGAAAGTTCTTCTTTAAGAGTTAAACAGCCATCTGCAGAAAATCTTGGAAGTAGGAAGTAACATTGTTGGGATAGAAATCAAAGATGATAATTATAATGATGACGATGAAAGTATCAGATAATAACAAAAGTGGTGACAAAACTACCGATAATGAGTCTTTGGTGCTATGATTGATGTTGGTAGTGACAGTGTTCCTATCAGTACTGACACAAACAAATTCTGTTTATTTTCATTTCAGTCCATTGCCTTAATATTGTTTTATTCATTTTTGTTTGCTTTTGTTTACTACAGGTCCTTTTTGGTATTGCTATAAAATAATACAATACAGTGGGTGATCGGATAGCGAACAAATCGGATAACGAACACTTTTGCAAAAGATTTTTATGATCGGACAATGAACACATGTTCAGATAACGAACACTTTACTGAACAAACATAAAAAGAAGCGAAATAATGAATACTGATTGATTTTCCCTTGTTTTCAGGTAACAATTCAAAACCTTTCAGAGCATGGGAGACGTCAACATCGACTCTCAACCAGATACTGATCAGATAGTATTCCTCCAAATTTTGAAACTCTCCCTTGTAATTCCAGCTTTTTGTTTACCTTTCTGACAAATAATTTTTTATAGTCTTTGCGAGACCGTCAGACAGGCACTTGTTAAGTTTTGCGTCAGGGTTTATTTACGCAATGTGAAAGTTTAACTGTCTCATCGGATATTTGTTCACATTTTAATACCAAATTTCGAATTTCATCCGGCTGTTGCATTTAAATAAATTTTTGTGGTCTAGTTGATTTCTGTTCTCTGAATTTTTGTAAGTGCTTTTCTGAACTTTTTATTTAAAAAAGAAATTGATAATATTATGGAGTCTAAAAACAGGAGTGTCAAGAACTGTGCTCACCATAGAAACCAAGTAAGAGATAATAGCCAAGGTAGAAAGTGGGCACAAGATGTCTGATGTTGCTAGGCAGTATAGCTTGAACAGGTCTACAGTAGGCACAATCTTATCTATGAAAGATATATCAAGAAGTCTCAAGCTGCTAATGGAGTAATGAAAATCACATCTGAGAAATAAAGAGCATTTTAGAGCTCATAATGGAATCTGAAACTGATCTGACGACAGAAGAACTTCAGGGATGTCAGAATAACAATCATCCAAGTGGCATCCAAACCAAAATAAGGTTAATGGGGTTCAGGATCTCTACAATTACAATACTATTAATTACTTCTGAAAAATCCTGAGGAAAACAGAAAAGCAATCGACATTGGACAGATTCTTTAACCCCCACAAAAGGAAAAAGCATGACTAATAAAAATGCAAGACTGCATTCATATATATATATATATTTTTACTATTACATATAAATAAATGTAGTAAAAAAGTATATATTTTTTATTTTTTATTTAAATGATCATAAAAAATAAATGTTTAGCATATCACAATCTCCTTCCTCCAGATGAGAGCACTGATTATTAAAATACTTCAATCACCATTATACAATATGTAACATTTACATACCTCTTTTGATTCATTTCTTGTGAATAGAATTTTGTTTCATTTTCTGAATTTGATTTTGGAAGACTGACTATTTTTCCTGATAGAGGAAAATCGGCACATTTTATTCTACGCAGAGTCTTTGGACTCTTCTCTACAGAACAAGATGTTGACATAGTTGTTGGTTCATGTGATAAAGTTACTTCCATTGGAATGTAACATTGTTTTTTCAAACTGGAAACTTCATTATCTTTGGTGTAAACTCTTTTTTCTGAATCTCTGAAAATATAAGAAAAGAAAAAAAAATTAAAATTGCTACAAAACTTTTATTAAAAAAGACAAAAAATTTTATATGAAAAATACTAAATGTAAAACACAAAAATTAAAAAGAAACCAAATAGCCAGACATAAAATTTGTTTTGTTTATTATTCCATGAATCCAGTCAAACCTGCAGTTATCATATTGTAAAAAAAGATTGAAATTTTTTTAATAAAAAGAAACAAAAAAAAAAAAAAACAATCATAATACACACATACAAGAAAGACATTGGCTGTACATGAAGTTTTTAGCTGGCAGAAAAGAGGGGAGGGGAAGAAGGAGGGAGAGGAGATAGACAGTAGAGAAAGGTAGGATCCCTCTGAATGGCATACATACGGCTACAGTACAGTACCTTCTATGTTTGATGTTGGTGTGCAGTTTTCAGGCTGCAAGGCTGTAGTCCCCCAAAGGGTCTAAAAGAAAACCTGAGTGTAGAGAACACCGATAATTGAGTATCGCCATGAATAACTAAGTGTAGAAGTTAGTGCTAAGTGGCTGTTAGTAAGAAGACATATCTACTTAATACTAATAAAACTGAACACGATTGTGAATCTTAATACAATAGAGTCCCGAAAACTCGGCCTAATGTGGACCGAAGGTGGCCAAGTTTGTGAAAATGCCAGGTTATCGGGAATGGGGTTAAAAAAGAATAAGTACAAGTTTCCTGAGAAAATACTATACTGTACTTGTATGTATTGTTTGCTTGAGAATTCAACAGAGAATAAACTGCCCAAATACCCTTAAACAAAGGAAAAGTACATACTGTACATACTGTACTTTATGAAGGCACAGAGTCTTTACTACATGAAAATGAAAATTAATGAATACACAGTGTACAGTAATTTACCTGATAATCAGACCTCAGAAAAATACTTTATGAGGCATAAAGCTGTCTATAATGAAAATTAATTAGCCGACTTTGCCAAAACTTCATGGCTACTTTTTTAAAAGAAATGCGTAATATCCTGTTTTCTTCTGCAATGCACTCTGCGTTTTGCTGCTTCATCACAAAGACGACGAAGGAACAGTAAGTCCGTTACCAACGCACCTTGTTGTTCAAAATACTGAAGGGTGGTTTCGACAGCCTTTAGTCTATGTGATATTTTAGGAGCTTGTATGGTGGAATCCTCAACATCAACGTCTTCAACATAATCCGGCATTTTTTCATTAACTGTGACAGCAGCAATAATTTCTGCATCGGACATAATGTCTTGCTCGGTATCGTTCTGGAACCACTGTTCAATGTCATTTTCATTGGCTTCTGCACATCCAGGAACTCTTTTCAGGAGGTCAAGTAAGTTTACATTTTCTTCTTAATCATGTTCAACAAACTCATTTCCCTCATGATCAAGGAGTTTTCACCAGGAACAAACTAGTGTTAATGACTCTAATTCATTCCAGATGTCCACCACCCAGCCAACAACATCCAATAGGTTAATTTTCTTTAAGTTCTGGATAAGACCTTGAATATCATCGTTTGCAGAAAGAAGAGAGGATAACAACTTGAACCAAGTTATCCGGACTGCCGAGTTATCGAGTGCCAAGTTTTCGGGACTCTACTGTACCACTGTACAGCTAGACAGACAGTTAACTTTATGAAAAGCAAATGAATACAATGACAAACTAGACAAGACAAATGAGCAAGACCCCAAAAAAATTTTTATTTTTTATTATTATTTTTATTTATTTATTTATTTTTTTAAAGTTAACTTACTCACTAACTAAACTAATCTACCATAACCTAGGACAAGCCTAACCAGACGACTAAAACTAACAAACCCTAATCTAATTTAACCTAACCGGAAACCAAGTTAAGAGTCCCTAATCTAACCTACAACTAGGTCTAATTGAATTTAGACTGAAAAGGAAAACAGAAAATAAGAATTAAAATACAAAGCTGAAAGGCAGCTATATATCCACAATTGAAACAAAGCAGGGGAAAGCTAATTGCCATCTGTACCCCCAGAGCCAGTGCTCTCAAGAGCCCCACTAAGGGATATGCGAGTAGATAATGGAACATTGTTTGCGTGTGAATGAGTTGGTGCAGGTTGCAAGGCCAGTTGTACCCTTCAAGAATAACAGCTCTCATTAAACTATCCCTAATGTGACTGTACCTATTGCAGCAAAAAACTAAGTGAAGTGGTGTTTGGTCCTCCTGAATACAACAATCTCATTGTGGATTGTCCCCAAGGTTAAATCTATGCAAGTATTGCTTAAAGTTGCCATGTCCTGTAAGTAGCTGAATGTGGGTATAACTAGGGTAAAAATGGTGAAGAATTAGTGTCAACCTTGGGGATGAAAGTGTAGATGAGCCTACCAGTGGTGTCATGGTCCCAAGCTGTCTTGCCAGAGAATGAAGATTTGCTTCTTGATGTGATTGTTGATGTATGAGGTAGTAATGTAACTAGTGACTGAAGGTACTAGTGACTGAAGACTTTGCAGCTTGTTTGGCAAGACGGTCAGCAGTCTTGTTGCCGAGAACCCCTGCATGACCCGGGACCCATTGGAAATCTATTCTAATGTTGTTGTCTAAGTGTCTGAGAATGTGGTGTATGATATGGATGAGTTTTAAGTGGCTATCAGACTTCGCAATCCTGTGTAAAGCTACTCTACTATCAGAATAAATGCAATGGTGTAAATAGTGTCTTTTGTCCTTCCTATGCCTAATGTGAATTAAGCTCATATAAATAGCTAAAGTTTCCACCTGTGCCATTGAGCACTGTGTTGTACCTAGATGGAAGCAAGTGTTGTGAAGCTCATAGCCTAAGTCAGAGTAAACTACAAAAGCAGCACCCACATAGTCACCCATCTTGAAACCATCAGTGTAAATCCTAAACATGGGATGATCACCTGGTTCTTCAAAGTAAACGTCAGGGGCAAGCTGATGGGAGGGGTGGTAATCGTAAGTTGGGAGGGTATTTTTGTCAATGCTGAATTTTTTGATATCATTGATCAAGGTCAAACTGGGGGGGGGGGAAGAATCTTACCTACTCTAATAATTTTGTCAACATCCAAGTCACTATAGTCTCACCAGGGTAAGGTGATGAAATTTTCCTGCCAAATAATGCATTTAATTTCTAAGTCGATAAGGATCAATTCTGACATTACCAAAAGGGCACTAGTGGGTGCAGTCCTATAAGCCTTACAAATACAGAGAACTGCAATCCTTTAAACAGATAACAGTTTTTTTATGGTTATGGACTTTGGCAGCCATTTGGCCCCAGACCTGTAAGGTATAGAGGAGTGCTGGCTGAATTACACCTCTGTAAATAAGCTTAGTAGCATTAGAGCTAAGGCCCTATGTGTTCCTAACAATACTAATGAGGGCATTGGCCATCTTTTTAGCTTTGTCTGTGATGTATTTGATGTGGGGTGTGACGTTAAGTCTCTCGTCAAGAATAACACCTAAATATTTAATTTCCATTTGTTTGCTTTATTCTGTGAGCACCTATTCAAAGAGTAAGCTTTCTGACGAGTGGCATTGGTTGTTACCTGATCTAACTGGAGTGTGAGCCCATATGGATTATCATTCATATGCTGCAAGAAGTTATCAATTTTGGGCTTGCCCTTCCAGTAATCATTTATCATCTACATATCTTTTGTATGTGGTTATCTTTGAAAGGAATAACTTTAAAACACTCTTCTCTAAAATGAATACTACCATTTCACAAGACTGCACTTGCTAATAGGTTAAATTTGGCCAGGGCTGTAGTCAATTTGTATTCTGAATATTGGAACATTAATTGACTTGATAAAGCTTAGAATTAGATCGAAAATGTTAATTCTCCAGTACAAAACAAAACTGACTAAGGTATTAAAAGGGTTGTTTTACAGTTAAAAATCAAATATTTTTCAATCTACAATAAGCAGCAGAAAACTATATGATTTTTATAATAAATATTGCTAACTGGCATGTTTTGAAAGAAAAAAATAATGTATATTTTTAAAAATAAAAAATATAAACCAATAAACAGATTCATCAGTTTTGCTATAATTACAAGTATATCACTTTTATAATGAAATTTCACTATAAATAACAACAATGTTTAGATTGGTAATTACTCTGGCATGAACTATACTGTAGATTTTGTTACAAGTGAGAGATAATACAACTTATAAAATTAATTCAAAAAATAATTAAACCAATTTTCATTTTCTGAAAAAATATTTTTGGATGAAAATTTTTGCAAGGTATGTCAAAATTTTAAAAAGCTGGATATTGTAACTAAATTCTAAAATTCTACTTAACTCATAATGCTATATTTGAAAAAAAGACATCTTTTAGATAGCTACATGGGAAGCTTTAGACAAAGTAATAGATGACTTTAAAATTATTACATTTCTAAACAATGAAATTCATATAACTGTCTGATTACTTATCAATTATCACCTCAATGTTAAAATTTTAAGAAGATAAAATAAAACAAAAATTTGTAGAAAAATTCCAAAATCAAAAGAAAACTTTATCCACATATAAACATATACACATATCTAATGTGTATGCTTTCTAAAATCACTAGTTGGCTTTCTTTTATTTTTTCATATGATAATTTTTAAATAAAATGTGAACAAATGCAAATAATTTTAATTACATACTTGATAAATACCTTAATTACATTTTATTGCTTCTATGATAAATAAACTCTAAAATTGAATAAATAAAATTGAACTGTTATAAGCTATTTATATAATAACTAGCAAATGAACCCTGCGTTACTCGGGCAAAATATAACGATAGCAAAAATTAAGATAATTAGATTATAGCTGATCTTATCCATTTTTACCAGGTATAAGAATTAAGTTCACCTTATTCTGAGACTAATTAGAGAATTATTAGATGAATCTAAAAACATGTTCAATTTTCCACAAAAAACCACATTTAAATAGTACAACAAAATCCAAATTCAGGGTAATCCTTAACCTTCTCCCTCTCCTCTGAGGGGGAAATTTGGAAAGTCCC